TCTTTTTTTTTTTTGAGCTGTTTCTGAAATCTTGTTTCTTTTATTATCATTTTAATATTGTATATAAAGCCAAGTGTTGTGTTGAAAGCAGCACTCCTAATGTATATAGAGGATGTAAAAAGATTTCTGAACGAAATTGACCTTTCAGTGGTGAAGAAAATTGCAGTAGAAGACACATTATTGCATAGTCATATCTGAGGCTTGGATCTACAGAGAGTCTCACTCCACTGTCCTCCAGCTCTTCCTTATAAACCAAAATGGCTTACAAATGTCATCCATAATAGTCCAATGAAGATTAGGAACAAAACGCTGTCCTTACATTGATGAGATAAGAAAGACTTAACTGCAGAATGCAGTGTGTAAGAACTGCTCATAAGGCTTGTTCTTGAATCAGAAAAATAGAATTCAGACTATATTTGTGTGTGTCTAGGATGTAATTGAGATGATCAGTTTATTTTCCACATAATGTTGGATCAGATGCCTGTGCTACAGAGCTAGATAAAAAGAAAAGAAAGAAAACAAATCCCATCAGGAGAAATCAAGAAGACCCGTTATCTACAGGGTGTGCAAAATATATCGGGAAATAATTCTACCCTGAGTGTTGAGGATGCCCAGTTAATAAAAAAAGATCAGCCACTCGCTAAGAGAAAATAATTGTCTGTATCTATAGCCTTCAAAGCAAAAAGGCAACTAACTGCATCTTACACGAAATAGGACACATTAAAATAAGCTTTAATAATCTTTATGCAGAAGGAAACTAATCCATTTTCAGATCATACGATCCACAGCAATAAAAGGAAATCATCAAACTAAAAACAATTTTAGAAATGGCTGCAGACTCTCATTTAATTAACATGCAACAGATCATATATTTATGAGGAAGTCAAAATATTTAGGAAGCCTATAATCCTGTAAGCCTTAATGTGGTATCAAAACAACAAATAAATGCGAAGTGTTACTGTTACACATGCCTGCCTGATCAATGATTTTCACATATTGATCTATAAACGGAGTTGACAGTCTGTGTTGGCTGCACATTTTCCAAGCAGCGCTATTTTTGTACAAAACCAATACGGGCAATTACCTTTGTTTGAGATGCCAAGTCTTATCAATTAAATGTGATTTAGTGTCATTTTAATTAAATATCAGGATCCACTTCAGGACAGTTTATACAAACAAAACCTCAAACTCAACTATAAGCTTGCTTTGAAGTAAACGTGGACAAGCTCTACAATCTCACAATATTTCTCAAAAACTCTGCTAAACAGAAGGCTTATATTTTTAGTAGCAATTTTTATGTCTGCCTTTTTGGCTAGCCACAGCTTTGGCAAGTATCCTATAATCACAGAAGTAAGAAACAAAAGACAATTGTTTCCTCTTTTTCCTGATAATGTATTTAAAAGAAAATTAAACCAACACAGTCTGATAATGGAAGCAAAAGAAGTCTTGAATGCTAACGTTTAGGAATGGCTCAACCTAAGTCTTTATCTGAACACCAATAAAAAGATATGTCCCTGTTCTTGATGGCCATGAATGAAGAAATGCACTTCTGCAGGGTTTACAAGATGGAAACAGTTAATATTCATACATGTTGCTGCTTAAGATACCAGCATTTAATGCCGCAACAGCTCCCACTTTTAAACCCTATGTCTGCAGTTTACTGATTTGGGCTATTCAAACTCTTCATTAATATCTATTCTAAACTGTCTAGTAGAATACAACATTCTTCTTAAAAATAACATCAAAGCCACATTAAACCTTTTGCATTAGTCAGTTGCTGGGTTGCACATTAGCCTTTTTAACCTTTAAAGAGGCACATTTCACTTGCCCCCACTTATTTTCACTAAGCCGTCTGCTTCTCTGGTTTGCACGTTGGAATAAATAAGCAGCCCACCTTTAAGAGATCTCACTCTGGTGCTTGGGAAGAGACAAAAAATCGCTGAGACCAAGGAGTGTTTCTTCCCTACCAAGTAAACATCTCCAGATCGCTCTTGTGAATGAGCAATTTTGTTGCTAACCATGTCTACCCAAGTCTAAACTTCCCACCTCTACAATACTTCCCACGCAGCAAAATAGCCTCTTTGAATTTTGAAAAGGCTTTGATCTTATTAACCAAATAAAAATGATTATTTGGTGTCTAAAGAAAATGGTTTGTACCATCAATAAAATACGATTGGAGTATCAATACTTGCTTTACGGTATAATCTCCCTGAGGCATTTAGACAATCAAAATCTTTAATTTAACAAGTAAATTCACTTGTGTGTCCAGAGTTTAAGGACAAATTCATGTTTATATTGGAATTTCAAAACACTCCTCTAATTAAAGTCCAAGAATATAGGCTCATGTGATACAGACAGGGTAATTTTATATTATGCTCCGAGTTCACAGTCATATTAAAATACTTTTAGTTGAGCAAAATAAAAGAATGGAATTTATAAGTTAATGACAAAATTATATAGTTGATTTGACCCCAGAACATGTTATTGTTTTTGTAATGAATTAATGAATTTTGTAATGAATTTAATCACTGTTAATATAATCACCAGATCCTTGTGTTGCTATATACCCTAGTAAGTCCATATCATATCCACATAATTGTTATACTGGTGAACAAGTGATAGTATATACAACGTATATGAAATAGCCTGCATAACATGCATATATATGGTCTCTAAGTACGCTTAATTTTTTTCCAGGCATTAAATGTGTCTCTGTTACAACAAACCATGCCACATGTGAACATTTACACACCTTCTTAATATACATCTCCTCCCACTTCTCGTAAGTTCAAAGTCCCCCCCCCTTGACCTTGCCCTACCCCCTCGGCTTCTAAAAATTCAAATCCTTAGTTTAGCTTCAGTAGAAAACTTTAACAGGCTTGTTTGAACAAATATGTCAAAATACTTTACATTCTGTCAGTATCTAGTCAGAAAATTGTGCATGGAAAAAAGAGATGAAAAGAACTGAGACAGAAAGAAAATTAGTGCCATGGCAAGCTTTCAATACAGTATCTCTGAGCCAAGTTTTCTCGGTGAAATGACATATCCTCACTAAAATACCCCTTTTATATAATTATGCACTGAGCGCATATCACGAAAAGTAAGTTTTATTTTTGTTCCTTATCGAGGAATACATATTGCCCAGGCTAAGAATGCAGAAACAAAAGCTGGGATAATTATAGCTAATTTAACTTCGGAAAACTCTTATTCTCTAACAGTCCAGTATACAACCCCCCAAACTAAAGTTATGTAACAAGGTAATATCAGCAATGAGAAACTGCATGATCAAATCCTGCCCAAAAGTGAAAAATGCTAATTTTGTCTCATTTAGCAGCTGGATACAGAAATGCTCATTAGTTTTAAGAGGGTTAATCCTTTTAACTTTTGCATATTGATATGCCAATTATGCCTAATTGTACAAGAGGCATCAGTCAAGGTAATAGTGCATAAACACATGAAAGTTATTAAGTACATCCCAACATGTAATAAAGTAGGTGTTAATTGGTAGCTGAGTTCTGCGGGCTATTGAGGTGGATAATTCATTGAGAGATGGATCACTTGTAATTTCTCTCCATAATTCCTTTTGCAGGCTCATGCTGTGATGTTTTCATGCTTGTCAAAAACAACTGCGGCATAGTGCCTTTTGTTAAACACAGCCAATAAAATATGTTAGGCATCATTAGATATACTTAACTTTTAAACTTTTTCAAAGGTACAGTTCTTACTTGATAATCCATTATAGAGATTCCAATAATTTACTCTAACCGCTATCTCAAGTTCATAGATGAGGAACACTTTAGCTGGTTTAAAAGCAAAGTCAGGCTGGCAGTGTTATGCCTCCCAGCAGACAATAGTTTTAAATGAGAAAGTAAGTAAGGGAAAATGAATCTCTCATTAGTTATCTAAGGAAGCATTTCTCACTCGCAGCATATAATCACTGGCTTCCTAATGCTAAATTTGTCTATGACACCTGAAGAAAGAATGATTAAAATAATGTATTTCTCAAGTTCTTGAGATTGCTTGCAGGTTAATTTTGCAGTTGAAATTCGAGTAAAAAATGGGGAATAAATACAATCGGTAACATGCTACTCAGCAAGTTTTATCTCATTTAATAACTCAGTTAGGGAGCTGAATATTTCATAGGCCCCTACGATATTAACAGAACACTCAATTAATAGCTCACATGTTTCGGCAGAGTGACTGGGACTCACAGCCTGTCCCCAGCTAACCTATTTCTCACTCTTGATCTCACTGTGAGAAACAAAATAGATCTGAGGTCCAAAAGAGTGGCTAACATTGCATAAATAATTTTGTAACATCCTATGGCCTCAGCTGCAAGTTACCACCATTATGGAAGAAAATTAACCAGAGGAGACTCATTGCAATCAGCGTGTTTAGTGGCTCAGGATGCATGCAGGGGCAGGGACACAACTGGCAATAGAGTTCATCTCTAACTATTTTATTTCAAATCTTCCTAATGACACATTATCGAGACAAAATGGTTTCCTCCAAGCCTTAAATAGCCACTCCACTTCCATCATTGAAGCCTATCCAAATCAAATTGTAATTTCCAGTATCATATATTATTGGGAAATTTTAAGGAAGAGATTTTTCTTTTTTTTTTTAAGGATTTTGTTTCCCACTTTATTCTTAGCTAATTTTAGCCTCTGGCTTTTTGAAGTGATGCACTGTATTTGGAAGTACAAACACCACATGCTAGCATAACCTCATTATTTTTATGACACTGAAGCATGATAGTGGAGGCCCTTAAAATGAGTCAAAGGTGCTCTTCAGTCTAGCTCCAAATCCACTTTATCATTCTGGATTAAGCCCAGCTCTTCTCTCACAACTGGGGATATTATTATGACTGTAAGTAGGCAAGATAAAATGCATTTCAAAAACAGTTTTCTCATGCACATTAGGAAAACAAATAAAACAAGGCTAATTAGCTTTTCTCTTCAAAATTCTGTATGATAGGGAACTTAGGGTATTTGACTTACGGGTTCAGGGGCCTTCCCAATATCGGTGAGTATCATGGATTTACTTTGGCTCAGTCTGTCATGGTGGCTGTTGGCATTTTTGACTCTCATTTGCACAGCTCCTATGCCTTGGCAGGTGAAACTCAGTGGTTCCACAGAGGTATCAGAGTTTGTAGATTTCTGCATATTAAAGTGTTATCCTGATAAAATATAAAAGTCCTATGTTATTCCAAGTATACATTTTTGCATTAAAAAACTCTTAGTAGAGAACATGTGTTTATTAACTGATAAAATATAAAAATTAAAAAGAAGTCAAGGAATAGCAAGATAATTATTTTGTAGTTGTTTTTATTAATTAGGGCATCTATATATGGACAGTACTACACATGCCAGATGACTTCAAATGTTGGTAGGCAGAATATTCATTGTTCGTGTAGTTCCTAATCCCATTAAGAAACTCCCAATGGAACCCACTGATCTATTGTCTCTTCACATCCCCTCCTCCACACACTGTTACCAGCATCCTTTTTTTTGGTGAATAAAAATCTGTATGCATAAGATCAAATTTATGCAAGTAGATTGGCATTAGAGCAAAACAGGTCCCATTATCTATCAAACCTGTTGTCTTGACCTCCTTAGTAGTATGCTCTGTGCTATCCCCCACCTCCACTCAACACATCCACGGAGGGAAAATTAAAATTCTTTTATCCACTGCTTTCTGGCAACAGATGCAGATTTGATAGCTTGGTTGGACATAATATTTATAAAGAGTAAGAAGAAAGAGAAAATCGACCCAGTTGGTTTATTTGTTTGTTTTAATACGAGTCTGATTTAGACAGGGAAATTCAGCAAGGGAAAATTTTAAAGGAGCAGCAGTGAGGAAAAAATATTTTGAAGAAAGAAAACAGAACTAAACTGTGGCGGCATTGGTTGGGTGAAAGGGCAGGGCTCCCCCCAGTCTACAACACTTTTCAAATGCCCCTCTTCACAAGCTCCTCAAATGAACACGTAACCCAACTCATTAAAAATAGTAAATTTGTGATACAAACATGTCTTCCAGTCTTCTAGAAGCAGACACCATCTAGACTGAGTCTAGAAGTCTTACCTATGTAGACATTCCATAGCTGGTACTGGACATGTGTACACAAAATTGTATAAAATTGTGACCAGTCATTTAAAGGAACTATTCTAAGCCCGAAGAAGGATTACATTTTATAGAGCCAACTATATTGGTACTGCTATGTTGTTGGACAGACAATGAGATAGAGTCATTGTAACGGTCAAGTTAGACACTAAAATGATTAGAAAAGAAAGAAAGCCTTTTAATAAGTAGAAAAATGTTACTTCCTAATTGATACCATAAGGCAATTGAATAACAAAGTAGAAACGAAGTTAATATTTATTGAGTATTTACTATTTGACAGGCAATGTGCCCAGTGGTTTAATCCTTATAAAACCCTATGAGATAGACATTAAGTCAACTTTTTATAGGAGAGAAAAATGAGGATCTGAGAGACAATTAATTTTTCTAAGGACATTGGGCAGAAAGAGGTGGAAGAGTTGGTATTTTATTCCAGAAAAGGAAACCCAGATGTCTATTAACAAGTAAAACAGATAAACTAAACCCTGGTGGTGTAGCGGTTAAGAGCTACGGCTGCTAACCAAAAGGTTGGCAGTTCGAATCCACCAGGTGCTCCCTGGAAACCATATGGGGCAGTCCTACTCTGTGTTATAGGGTTGCTCGATGGCAATGGGTTTGGTTTTTAGTTTATCCACACAGTGAAATATTACTCATCAAAAAAGGAGAACGGACTATCAATACTTGCAAACAAATTCATTATGATAAGTGAAAGAAGCCAGGAAAATAAAATGTACATATTGTATGATTTTACTTACATAAAATTATAGAAAATGCAAACTAACCTACAGTGATAGACCGCTGATCAACAAATGCCTAGGAATGAGGCAAAGGGAAGAACGAATTGCACTGAGTACAAGCCAGCTTTTGGAGGTGATGGGTATATTCACTATCTTGATCGTGGTGATGGATTCACAGGTGTATACATACAGCAAAATTAATCAAATTGTACTCTTTAAATATTTTCACTTTATTGTACTTCAGTTGTATCTTGCAAAGTTGTGTTCAGAGGAAAGTCGTTTTAAGAATTCTTTAACCAATTTATTGTACTTAAAATGTCCTTTTCTATGCCTACATGAGAGACGTATTATAAAAATTTATGTCTAATTGATAATACAAGAGCCCTTTTAGTAAGTAGGAAATAAAAAATTGAACTAATAAAGAGAGTCTCAAATCCCCTTTATTCCATACAATTATAATGACAGCTAGTCTAATGAGAAGATTTTAAAATGTATTGAGTCTAGTCAACAGTATAGGCATAGGGGATCTTATCTCTATATCTAACTAAAATAAGGTCTAGATTAGGATATATATAAGGATATAACTTTAAAAAAAGTAAATATAATTGTATACGGATAATATAAATGATTATTTCTCCATATACCCCGGGTCCAATATGAGATAATGAATAAAGTTTTGGGTGTATTCTATGTATTTATTACTTACTATTCAGCCCATTAATTTTTCTTAGCCCACTAGAAATGACGTATTTCAAAATAACAAAGATACTCTATGAATCTTTGACATCTGCGACAGTTGTTGTTGTTAGCTGCTGTCGAGTTGGCTTCTGAGTCATGGAAATCACGTGCACAACTGAACAAAAGGCTGCTCGGTCCTGCACCATCCCCATGATCTGTTATAGACCTACTTACTAAAGGCATGAGTTTTCTCAAGGTATATTTCCGTGAATGAAGCAGAAATGAATGAAGAAATGAAAATTTAGGGATTCAAATTCATGGTTAACTAGCCCAGTTTAGTTGAAAGAGCCCAAGATGACTTTTAGGGGCAACACTGTCTCTGATGGTCACTTTGGGATCTTTACAACTCAGTTTCATCCTTGGGAAAAATTGATAGTGAGGGGCGGGGCAGGGCAGCCAAGAGAACTGCTGTAACCTGTAGGGACCTCATCAGCTCTGATATGCAGAAAATCTGGGAGTTCAAAAAGTATTACAGGATATTTAGGCAGATAAGCCACCATGCAAATGCTTTGATCTGAACTGATGCCCAATGGACTTGGGGGAGATCTATGATCTAACATTTAAATCTTTTCTAGGCAAATTTGGGTCTTCCTGTGAGTGCATTCAAGGCTTTGATCTTCCATACCACTCGTGTAGACGGAAACCACTATCTTTTGACCAAGTGCATTAAATCACAGTATTTACACAGCCTAGCCATATGGCATTTATAGGGCATGTTGCTTCCTCAGAGTCTGCACAAATTTCAGTGTCAAATCAAAAATTTTATTCTTGTATTGATTTCACAATCAATCCATAATTTGTCTAGTGATGTGTTACCATCAAAAGACAGATTACTTAAAAAGCCTCTTATCCAGCTTCCCCGCCTCTGTTTTCTCTGGGGCAGCATGCAGAAAGCATTTTCAAAATCTTTCTTCTTGACAAGAATAGATAAATATAAAGAAACCAATGTTCATTGGTGGTTACCAGGGAGAAGGGAGTGGAGGGCAAAGTACGCTTTAGAACTTAGAGACTTGTTACTTTTGGTGATGGGAAATGTGGCTCCCAAAGTGGAAGTAGTGAGCACAGCACAACCTTAGTAAAGAGGAGTGTCTGAACACAAATAGAAAGGTAGAGACACAATTAAAGTGAATGCTGACAGATTGTGATAAATGCAACTAATGTTAATGAACAATTTATGTGGAAATTTGTAAAAAAAAAAAGATTCATTGAGAGATGTATAATTTTGCAACAACAATAATAACAACTACAAATATGTATTTGGTTACGTAGATATACATGTATGCATAAATATGTACAGGAAGGCATATATGAATATATGGATGTACATGTATAGATGTAACTGTAGGTATATGTATATACGTGTTTAGGTGTGCTGCATATATTTTCAAATATAAAATAAAGCACATGGGGGCACAGTTATGGATACTTCCTAGACACAACCAAATGCCTCACAGGATTTGTCTACTAGGTTAGAAGGCTTAGGACAATAGTCTCATGGGACAACTCGGTCAATTTGCAAAATATAGTCCATAAAGATGATTTTCTACATCCTAGTTTGGTGAGTAGCATCTGGGGTCTGAAAAGCTTGTGAGTAGCCATCTAAGATACAACTATTGGTCTCTACTCGTCTGAAGCAAAAGAGAAAGAAGGAAATCAAAGACTCAAAGAAGAAACTAGTCTACAAAACCAATAATCTATACAAACAATTACATCACCTACAATGAGACTGGAAGAACTAGATGGTGCCCGGTTACCACTACTGACTATTCTGGCCAAAGACTCAATAGGTGGTCCTAGATAGAATGGGGGAAAAGTGTAGAACAAAACTCAAATTTCTAAAAAAAGGCCAGAGTTACTGAATCAGTAGAGATTACATGAATCCCCAAGACTATCGGCCTGAGATACTCTAAACTTGGAGCTCAAACCACTCCCAGAGGTCACCTTTCAGCCAAATGAAAGATTGGCCCATAAAATAAATAATATCACTGTGCACCTCAAAAATAATCATCTAAATGAAACCAAATGGTAAACATTTACCCTAGACCAAAGATGAAAAGGCAAGGGAAGACAGGGAAGCTAGATTAATGGAAACAGAATAAGCAGAATGGAAACAATGAGAATGCTGATATATTGTGAAAAATGTAGCCAATGTCATTGAACAATAAGGATAGAAATTGTTAAATGAGAACCTAATTTCCTGTGTAAACTTTCACTAAAAACACAATAAAATATTTTTTAAAAAATCTTCCTCCTTCAGATCTTTACATAGACTGATCTCTTTCCCTACCACAGTGTTGATGTTGTTTCTCTTAATTTCCTCATGCTTTTTTCCTCTAGCCACCACTTGTATTCCATTCTGACCATATCCTCAGCTTTTGCACTCACTGCCCTCTGCTTGTTCCCATTATTCAGCTTCCCTGGTAGTTGCACAATGACATACTCTTGATACTACTCCATAATTGTTCTCATATTTGCAAACATTTGAGGGTCTTTAATTTTTCATGGCACTGTATTTCTTTGAGGGGAATAGAGAAAAAAAAGACAAAACCTCTTCTCAAAGATTTCTACTAGCAGGGAAAAAAAA